AAAAAAAACAAACCCACTGCCATCGAGTTGAATCCGACTCATAGCAACCTCCATTGGGTTTCCAAGGCAGTAAATCTTTACAGAAGTGGACTGCCCCATTTTCCTTCCATGGAGTGGCTGGTGGGTTTGAATCTCCAACTTTCTGGTTAATAGTCAAATGCCTTAGTCACTTCACCACTAGAGCTCCTTCCAAGTAGTATAAGGCTGGTTAATTAGAAACAACTAAATAAAAGAATCAGAGAAGTATGCACTGAACTACTCATAGTTTTTAACCCTGAAAGAGGGACCTTAAGTTTATGAGGCACATTTAATTTCATAAAAAGAAAATAACAAAGGAAGAGTAAACCAGCGATCAGAAACGGTAGGCTAGTAAAAGTGTCAGAGAATCACAGTTTAGACAGCATAAGAAAATTTCTTTCTTTATTGGTATTATGACTTTAATTTTACTTCTCTAAAAAGGGTATAAAGAAGGGGGAACCAATCCTATTTCACAGTTTCAATAAAGTTTAATACATTTTTTTCCCCTTAACTAAAGAAAGGCCAAATGTAATGTCTTGGCTTTTGTAAATTTTTTATTGACATTCTAGGAGAATTTCAGAAAGTTTACTTAAAATCTTTCTGTGGGAAGTAGTGTGGGAAGTAAGGAGCCTTGCAGGTACAATGGTTAAAGCATTCAGCTGCTAACGGAAAGGTTGGCAGCTGGAACCCACCAACAGTTCCTCAAGATAAAAGACCTGGTCATCTGCCCCATAAAGATCTCAGCCTAGGAAACCCTATGGAGAATACTGCTCTGTCCAACATGGTTGCTATGCGTTAGAATCTACTCAGTGGCACACAACTGTGTAGAAAGCAGCTGCGAAGATGGTGCACAAGAATTCAGTATGGTTTTACTCTATCAACTAGAATCATATTTGAAAATTTTTATAATAAAAAGTGGGATAAAAAGACTGAAGGCAAAACATACACACATACTTGCACAGAAGGTGTGTCTCTCTGAAAGGCTGTAAGCTTTTTAGGCAAGTACGTTAAGTTTGCAGGGAACCAATATGGTACATTTTTAACACGCCACTCCCTTCCTAAAGGAGCTCTGGTGAAGTAGTGGGCAAAGCATTTGGCTGCTAATCAGAAGGTCGGCAGTTCAAACCCACCAGCTTCTCCGCAGGAGGAAGATGAGGTAATCTACTTCCGTAATGATTTACAGCCTTGGAAGCCCAATGGGGGTCGCTTGTGAGTATTCATTAGGTTTTCAGTGGCCAGTTTCCTCAGAAGTGCATGGCCTGTCCTTCTTTCCAGTCTGACTTAGTCTGGAAGCTCCGCTGAAACTTTTCCACCACGGGTGACCCTGGTGAAACACCAGTGCCATAGCCTCCAGCCTCACAGCAACATGCAAGCCACCACAGTACAACACACTGATGGACGAGTGATGGTTAGATATCTACACAACACATTACGTACATCGGGGGCTAGTAGTGTGTAGTCATGAAGGTTGGGCAATCCTACTTCCGTAGTGATACTGCCTCGGAAACCCAAGGAGGGGTCGCTATGAGTCAGGGCCGACTCGATGGCACATAACAACAACAAGTGTGTAGTCATAGGGAGGTGTTTTACAGAAACAAAAAAGCAGGATGAGAAAATCTACTTTTTCATGAAGAAAAATGGAACAAGACTAGAAGAATTACTGAATAAATGACAAAGAATAAACTATATAATATTTAATCTCCTTATATATTTTTATTGGTCTTAAAAAAGGTAAGAGTTTAAAACTGGTTTTATAGTTTGAATTATAGCAAATTTCAGTGTATAACCAGAAGAACAAAATTCTAAAGAAAAGAGTCTACTAAAATGGATTAGTTGGCTCAAGCTTTCTGGTGCATTAATATTTTGCTTTTTAAGTAAGTTTTTACTATTTTTATGTAAGAAGAACCTAAATTTAAAAAAAAATTGAACTGAACTTTAAAACAAAACCAGATTTCTGGTTTACGACTGAATAAATTACAATAAAATCCCTTGTTTATGCCTCTCTCTCTTTCTCAATTTTCATGTCCTCACTACTTTTTTTCAGGTTATGGATCAATGATTTAAAAAAAGAGTGGGAGGTAAAGAGATAACTGTATTGGACTAGATCTGTTCTCCTGGTGGTAACCCATACCTAGTACTTTTCCTTCAAGTATTACTTTAGTGATTATTTGGTCAATGTCTGTTCTCTTGCTAGTAGGATACTACATGGTAAGCTCCCCAAAGCCAGGAAATGCAGTTGCTTTACTTACCGTTACTTTCCTAGCACTGACACACAGCATAGGGACCGACACGTAGTAGGTGCTTTATAAATATTTGTTGAATAAATGCATACACACATATATACACATATTTCTCTGCCACTTGTTTACTTACTTAGGACCTGTGAGGATAGTTTAGGTCTCACCTCTAAGGTAACTCCTTGATGGAGAAATTGCCTCTCTACGTACTGAATCTTTACAAGGGATAACCATACATTCCTAAATATCCATATACCCATACTTCTACGGTTATTTCATGAAGAGGTAAATTCACAAAAGAAAATGAAATCAACAGCTTTTGAAAATAGAGTAAATGAACTATCTCAGATCAAAATTAGTCTAAATAACTTTTACTTTATTCAAAAAATGAGTATAAATTTAAGCAATAAAATTTAGAAGACCATTACGATACATATCTTACCTTGTATTTTTCATTTGCAAACAAAACTGAGGCTCTGTGAAATTTGCATAGAGGGTTCTTGGGATCAATAACAATGGCTTTGTTTAGTGTATCCAAAGCCTTCTCAGATTTTTTCAGAGCATGCTGGACCTATAAGAAATAAAGATATTATGTTCCCTCTTGATTGTTACGAAGAAAGGTAAGAACCAAATAATGTACCTCAAAACCAACACAAACATAACAAAATTACTAGAGACAGATGGACTCTCCTTTGGATTAACTGACTTAGTAACTGATCGTCAAACTAATAATAGAGTCTCTCTCAAATCTCTTCCAATACTCATTTAACTGCCTCACTTTAAAGATGAGAGTAATAAAAAGTCCAGAGATGTTAAATAACCTGCTCTGGGATCAGAATCTAGGTCTCTGGTTCTTAACTCAGCACTCTCTCAGTCACCAAAATGCATCCATAATGATAATCAAGATTCTGTCTTTAGAGCAATTATCGATCTGGTGGACTTTTAGTCGTAAAGGCAAACAAAACCTAGGTTTTTCCTTCACAAGAAAAACCTGTACTGTTCAGCTAGGTAACACTCATATTTGAATGGGTCTATTACAGGAGCTCTGGTAACGTAGTGCCTAAGGCACTTGACTGCTAACCAGAAGGCTGGCCAGCCACTCCTTGGAAGAAAGGTTGGGCAATCTACTTCCTTAGTGATACTGCCTCAGAAACCCAAGGGAAGGGTCGCTATGAGTCGCGTTCGACTTGACGGCACATAACAACAACAACAACAACAACAACATTATAGTCCTCTAAGGAGCTCTGGTGGCATAGTGTCTAAGACATTTGACTGCTAACCAGAAGGCCGGCAGTTCAAACCCACCAGCCACTCCTCAGAAGGAAGATGGGGCAATCTACTTCCATATTGATATTGCCTCAGAAACCCAAGGAAGGGTCTCTATGAGTTGGATCTGACTTGATGGCAATGAGTTTGGTTTTTGGTTGGTTTAAGGAGCTCTGGTGGTGTAGGCATTTGACTGCTAATCAGAAGGTCCACAGTTCAAATCCACCAGCTGCTCTGTGGGAGGAAGATGTGACAATCTACTTTTGTAAAGATTTACAGCCTTGGAAACTCAATGGGGATCTCTATGAACCAGAATAAATTCAATGGCAGTAGGCTTTTATCACAGTCCTCCAAGGAGCTCTGGGGCTGTAGTGCTTAAAGCATTTGGGTAACCAAAAGGTTGGTGGTTAGAACCCACCGGCTGCTCTGTGGAAGAAAGATGGGGCGATCTGCTTCCGTAAAGATTTACAGCTTTGGCAACCCAACTGGGGTTGCTATGAGTTGGAACTGACTTGATGGCAGTGAGTCTGGCTTGAGTAATATAGTCCTCTAAATATTAGAAATTTAAAAACTGTGTTCAAAGAATGCCTACGAGATTTGGCTTTAAACCTTCCCAACTGTTTTACTAAAACCATTATGCTTTTTATCTATTGTAGGAATTTATCTGAAAAAATGAATTTCCTGCTTTTATACATTTGAAAATTATGATCTGTAATACTGGAAAATAAATTATACCCACGCCTCACTAATGGACATGCTTAGATTCCTAAGACCAGGTCGTTATGTGAAAATCAGCAATATTTGAAAATGGAGATGACTACATCACCACGCTCTATCACCTGTCTATGAGTGTCCCGCTGGGGCCCTGCTGAGGTCACCAGCCATCTCTGCCTCTCCCTCCCTTATGTTACCTCAGGAGAGCTCGGTTCCCACTGTGCCCTATAGGGGAGGGCTGCCCAACTGTCCAGAGCCAGAGTGGCCCAAGGGCTATCACTCTCTCCATCCCTGGGGTCCCCTCCCTCTCCTGCCCTCATGGTGTTTTTAGGATGTCTGGCCCTGCCTCATCTCCTCAACAACCCCAAAACACCCTTGGCAGCTTTGTTGGGGGCAGGTGGCTTCCTGTCCACGTGTGGGAGAGCCTAGGTGCTGTGGGGGGTGAGAGGAGTTTGCACGCTGCCCATTGGATCCATATGCCAGCCCTTGTCTGAGTACCCCTGGCTCTTGCAGGTAGTCCTGCCCCACTCCACCTCTATATGCCCGTGTCTGGCCTCAGTCTTTGATTTGAAACCGTAGCTATCGCTGGTCACTCACCTGTTGACTCTACCCACCCCCATGCGGGTAGCCCATCCTACTCTTACCTATGCCCACCCAGGAGGGGGCATCAAGGAAGTATAAAGGGTTGCAAAGGTGCTAGTCAGCTGACATGGGGTCCCACAGGCCTCAGGTACCCAACTATCTCATCTCAGGTCTCCTTCTGACCATGGCTTGGCCTATCCTTGCTGTCCCTGGGGGCTGGGAGCTGGGACCAGACCCAAGGCCTTGCTTTCTCTCCAGCCCCGAGGGCAGCCCACCTTCAGGCCACCAGCTACTGCTGCCTTAGCCCTCTGTGGGTACCCAGGACTGGCCAGGCAGCATCTTGTCCCCATCAGCCCAACACCAGCCCTTCCTTCACTACACCCTGGCCACTCAGGAAGATTGTGCCCTCTCTTCCCTCCTCGCAGTGAAATACTATGTAACACAAGCTTCCTTTCTACATGCACATGGGGTCTGCCTCTGTGGGTTAGGGACCCCATCAAAGATCTTGGTGGTTTATTACTGCCAGATGTGCATTGTTAATATAAAAAACAGTCAGAAATTGGATTTTTCACTATTGTCATAAATGCGAAATGTCAGATAACAAGACAGTTGATAACTGAGGAGTAAATGTATTTAAATTTAAAATAACATTTTAAATGTTTTAAAAAATTACCAAGTCTCACTAGTTAGTCAGAGTCCCTGGGCTGTGCAAATAGTTAAACATATGGCTACTAAATTGAAATACACCCAGAGGTACCTCGGAAAAAAGGCCTAGTGACCTATTTTCAAGAAGTCACAGCCACTGAAAATCCTATGGAGCAAAGTCTTGCTCTGACACCCACGGGGCTGCCATGAGTTGTAATCAACTCAATGGCAGGTTGGTTCCTATTCATTCATGTGTATATATAGCTAGTCTCTGACTTAGGATGTATCTGAGTTAGGACAAACCACACTTATAACTGCCCCCCTTTTTATTTTTAAACATCTTATTGTACATACTACATGTTGCAGTGTGTAATCTGCTGATGTTATCATTTTCAGATATTCAGTCAGACGTTCAATGCTATGATTTACTGATCAAAACACTGCTGTACAGCAGGGTATGGTGTGGTCTACAATGAAGTCTGTGTCAGTGTAGGGAGTCATCAGAAATAAAAAGTTGGGCAATGTTCCACTCAAACAACATGACAATTTAACACGCCTAACAGCCATTACAACTCTGACTTCATTGTTATGAGACTGATGATAAAGATCAGATTTACAAAGGTACTGGAAATACAAGGCAATAGTGAAAACTAAAAAACCGAAATATTCAACCTACATCAGAACAGACTTAAGAGAGTTGTTGGAATGTAACCATATCCTAAGTTGGGGACTACCTCATACTCTGTTCTGTTCCCACAATGGACAAATTAGATGTTAAATCTAAAGTCAGGTGAATGGATGCAACTGGGGAACTTGAACAAACATCACTGTCACAAGAATTCTGGTTGCTAATCTCATCTATGCAGTGTTCTCAGCAGAAAGTTATTACTACATGTGGCCAAATATTCTTTCCACAGGATCGATAATCTAAGTACCAGTTCCCTAAAAGAAAAGAGCATTACTTTCTTATCTGAAACATCTTCAAATAAGCCATTCAGAATTTTAAAACGATCTATTCCACAACAGCTTTTAAAAATGTGGAACTTTAATAAAGGTGTCAAGAGATACTCACGTTTCATTCGCTTATCTTGAAGTAATGACAAAACAAAATAAACTTAAATTGATATATTTTCTCTATCATGTGTGATATAGTACTATATGACAGAATTTACCATGTCAAGTTTTAAGGAAAATATCATGGCTGATTTCATATAAATAGTCAATCTAAACCAAAACTTAGGAGCTCTGGTAGCATAGTGCCTAAGGCACTTGACTGCTAACCAGAAGGCTGGTGGTTCAAACCCACCAGCCACTCCTTGGAAGGAAGATAGGGCAATCTACTTCCATAGTGATACTGCCTCAGAAACCCAAGGATGGGTCGCTATGAATCGGGTCTGACTCGACAGCACATAACAACAACAACAACAACAACAACAACAACAAACCAAAACTTACTGACATCAAGTTAAATTCCGACTCATAGCAACCCCCATTGGGTTTCCAAGGCTGTAAATCTTTACAGAAGCAGACTGCTTCATCTTTCTTCTGTAGAACAGCTGGTAAGTTCGAACCACTGACCTTTTGGTTAGAGGCCAAGTGCCTCACCCATTACACTACTAGAGCTCCTTAAGCAGTCAACAAAGACCTAGAATTCTTCCCCCAAAATAGTGAAATTCTAAACAAACATAGTTTCCTATTATTGTATGCCCATTCCCACAAAAGCCAAACTTGGTAAGTATGCATGTGTGTGTGTATATGAGAGAGGGAGGGAGAGAGAGGGAGAGAGAAAGAGAGAAGGAAGAGAGAACAAGTACAAGAACTTAATGTACCCTACTTACATAGAAACTCTCTGTTACTGAGATTTTTAAAAGCAAGCACACATATCTTTTCTCCTTTCAAAGTACAATTCATTACACTCACTCCTCACTTATTGACACAGTTAGGTTCTATAGACAAAGTCACTATGCAAAAATCAGTGTTATGCCAAAATGGAGGATGACTACTCATTACATGACTGCCAAATTATATCATTACATAACTGCCAAATTTCATCATTACATAACTGTCACATTACATCACTACTGTGACACAGTGAATTACTTAATACAGCTTTTCTGGCTATGGTCTTTTTGACTCCCACCAGATGCCTGGGTGGGACTATGTGAATGTGAGGTTCTTGTGGTCCACCAAGGGATTAGATAGCTTGCTAGTAATATATATAAGGCACATGGTGCCCTGGTGGGGGTGGGACCAAGCAAATAAAAGTGTATGGATCTGAGATCCCTGTGCTGAGATGGCAGAGATGGCGGCAGCAGAACCAATAGAACCAAGATACTGGCACAGGACAAAAGCAGGCTTGCCAGCCTATGGAGCAAGAATGCTGAGTGCCTTCGGGCAAGAAGCTTACTGGTAGAGTGGGATGCACCTGTTGGCAGAGCTAAAAGAATTTAGTGACACCTGCTAGAGCAGGGCAGAGGCCAGGCTGAGAGGCCAAGGGCCAAAGAAAGGCGTATCTGTAGGCATGGCTGAGAGGTAGCTGTCCTGATTGAAAAATTGTATCCTGAGCATTTCTGATCCTGAATTGTAACCTGTTACTTTCCTAAAAAACCTCATTATCGTGAGGATTGTCTGTGAGTTGTATGGCCACTTCAACAAATTATCAAACACAGTAGAGAAGCAAAGTGCACCATGGGAGGATAGTTGTATGTCAAAATTAGTGAAAAGGTTGAGTGTGGTAGGATGACTGACCTCAGTCTCATAAGAATCACCGGGCCTGGGCTGATGGTGATTCTGTCTCCCCCATGAAGTTGCACGAGGCCAGACAACACCATCAGCACACTCTTTCTGAAATTACATAACTGCCAAACCACTGAGAATCATGGCCCAGTCAAGTTGACACATAACCTTAACCATAATGGACAGTGTTACTCTTACCTTGCACCTCAGCGTTCATTACTGTCAGATGTATATTGTTAACAACCAAAACTCTCAGATAGTAGATTTTCTACTAGTCATAAATGCAAATATTGGATGATGAGATAGTTGGTAAGTGAGTAGTAGGTGCACTAGATATATTTAAAAAAATTTTTTTGAGTTAGATAGATTTTAAAAATGTGAACATAAATTGGTGATCCATATTATAAAAATTTTAATTTGTTCTGATATACTTCTATCACTCATGTTTAAACACAGAGAATCACTTGCTTTGAAATATTAATAATTTAGAGCTAAATATTAACATATGGAAATGTATTTTAAAAAAATATGAAGTATCTCACTTGAGTCTCATAACAATCCTATGAAATAGGCAAACCAGCCTACTGACATCAATAAAACAGAAGCTTGGGGAAATTAAGTGATTTGCCCAAGGAGTGAGGGCAAATCCAGTTATCTTTCTTTATGCCAAGTAAAAGAGGTGATATTTTAGCCATAGAAGACCTAAGGATATTGTTTCAAGAACAGAAAGCAGCTCCAATGTTCATTACAGCAATTAAGTCAATAGCACATTTTGAAACAGGAGATAAATAAAGCCGTAATGTTCAGAAAAGGACATCCTGTTTGGAAAAGGAGGTTAGTGAAAACAAGGGAAACCCTTATTGAGATGGGTTGACGAAACAGCCACAACACAGACTCAAACACACCAACACTCGTGAAGATGGAGCAGGATGACAACTAACAACAGTGTTTGGAAAGCTACTTACAACTCCAATGTGGCAAAGTAAAACCGAACTTTGAGGGTTGATATCAAGTGCTTTCTGGAAATGCATTTCTGCAAGACTAAATTTTTCTTGCTTGTAATAAATCATTCCCAAACCATACCTGAAAAGTATAAAAAGCATAATTTTAGGGATATGAACTTTCAGTTGTTAATTTTGTTCAGCTAATAACAGGATATATATGGAATATAGTGACCCTAGAAGGGAGGCAAAAAGTATCAGTCATAAAAAAAATCAAATCCTAATCACAATGGTATTTCTATATTGTTTGCTCAAATATGTTTATATATTTTATATTATTTTAATCATAATATACATAGTATTGTATTTGGTTTCCATTCTCTCCCACTTACTGTATCAAAAACATGCTCCTATATTTAAAGACTTCAAAATTAAAATTTGTAAAGGCTACATAATAGTGTATCAAGTTGATATACAGGTATTTCTCCCAAATATTCAAAACATCAAATGAATATAGTGTGACTGATCTACATTAAGGGTGCCTTCCTTGGCCATGACCAGATGATGATTAGGAATGAACACCAAAGGCATTAAGAAAAAAGGTATAATATGTCTGTTTTCTTTGAGACTGGCTTTGTTTACCATTATAATGGTGGTACAGGTGAATAAAACAAAAAGTTTTATTCTAATCATGGTGAAGGGAGAGATAACAAAAGAAAGGTTATTTACTCTGGAGTTGGAATAATAAATTTGCTCAGTGTTTAGGTACTCAGAGCTACCTAAATACCTCATTATTTAAATTCCTTCTAGTAAAAGTTCACCAGTCTGAATTTTCCTCCAAGTAAAACAATAATGGAGAGACTGGAGGCTAGAGTAGGCGGAAGCCCATCTCCATCTTTCCCTGGCGAGTTCATCCCCTCTTCTTTCTCTTGAATAAACTTTGGTTCATGTGGGGAGGAAAAAACAAATAATATTTTTATAACACAGTTTTTCACTAAGACAAAGTTTCTTAAGGATGCATCTACTGCAATATAGCAGAACAGACACTACACATTTACTCAATACAGATCCTGTTAAAAACTGAGTTCTTAAAATAGTAGAGAACTTCCGCCTATATGAAGTAAAGGCAGTATCAGAAAGTTTAACTGTTTGCTACGTCAGTAAAAGCTAGCTAATAATTATCAGACAATGTTTGAGGTGATATAACTACTTAGAAATTAATCCATTAAAAACATACACACAAATCCAAAAAATATTCACTTAGTTATCTAATGTTTTTAATTTAGTGACAAAATGATAAAATTCATTTATAAAGTTTATAAATGAATTTATAAAATTAACTTATCATTTTTATAATAATTAAATGAAAAAGTAAAAACTTTTTAATTGAATGAAAAAAAAAAGTAGAAAGTCTATATAGTCGGATATTTAGACTTCTTTAGAACTGATTTCAGAATTGGACTTTCCTTGATCTTTGAACTATTAAGTTCATCAAGAAAAATACAGAATTGAGGCAGAAATAGGAACACATTTTTCATGTCTTCTTCGTTTCATAATGATATAAGCCAGATTGTAAACTTTCTATTTGTCTACCCATGCACAAGTACAAAAAGTAAAATAGAGACACTATTTAATAAAATAGAATGCTGACCAGAAATAAATATTCATGATTACATGTCAAAGAGCAAGAACTAGTGGATTTTTTAACGTTTATTCTCTATTATGGTAGGTGAATTATACTATTCCTTCTCCTTACTTTCCCAAACATTTACTATCCTAACCACCATTTCAGTGTTAAAAGAAGAAGTAACAAATCAAGTAACAAAATTATTTGCAAAAGCTTGGTAGAGAAAAGGCTGAAACTGTTGACTGATCTGGCATTCTAATAATCATTAAGGATCTGGCATTCTAATAATCATTAAGAATTGGTTAAGGTATAAATGTCACATAGAAACATTATGGTTAGAAGTTAGCAACCAGTACAATTCTTAAGTATCAGTAACCAAATTCATGACAATAAAGAGAGATCTAACAAGAAAAACCACTGAGTATCAGTCTCATCAGTAAGATTTTGTCTTCACGCTTTAGTAGCACTTACCATGCATTATAGTGTCTAGGATTGACTCTGATAGCATTTCGAAAACAAGCTAAAGCTTTGTCTAGTTCTTCAGTTAGCACAAACTCATGGCCTAATAGAGTATAGGCATAAGCATAATTTGGATCAACCTGGATAGCTCTCTGGAAGAATTTAATTGCAATATCATGTTCCCGTTGCAGACTGAAACAGTTCCCTGCAGCACACCAGGCCTTCAAAAAATGGAAGCAAAAAACAAACACACAATTAAATTTTTATTTTTATTTTTAATTAACAAAACCAAATCTACTGAAATCAAGCCTCAGACTTCATTTTGATCATTAAGGTAAAAACTGAAGTGTTTTAATATATTTCATTTTAAGCTTAAATATGTCATGAAAAGTTACCACTAAATATTCTTGTTAAGTACTGAAATATATAGTTCTTATAGGAGTGGAGCATATAAATTAACTGTGCCTATTGTGCAAAAAAGGAGCTGTGGTGGCATAGTGCCTAAGGTATCTGAATGCTAACCAGAGGGTTGACAATGCAAACCTACTAGCCGCTCTGTGGAAAGAAGATGGTGCAATCTACTTCCATAAAGATTTATCGCCTCAGAAACCCAATGGGGATCACTAGGAGTTGGAATTGACTTGATGACAGTGAGGTTTTTTTCAGTTTATGGCTTAAAATGAAGGAGTTCTAGTGGTGCTGTGGCAAGGCATTCAGCTGCTAACCAAAAGGTTGGCAGTTCAAACCTACCAGCTGCTCCATGGGAGAAAGATGAGGCAGTTTGCTTCTGTAAAGATTTACAGCCTTGGAAACCCTATGGGGGTTGCTGTGAGTTGGATTCGACTTGATGGTAGTGGGTTCATGGCTTAAAATGACAATTAAAATTACTAATTTAATTTATAATTAGCACTTCTCTCAATCTATGTTGTTGTTGTTGTTGTTATGTGCCGTTGAGTTGGACCCGACTCATAACGACCCCTCCTTGGGGTTCTGAGGCAGTATCACTATGGAAGTAGATTGCCTCATCTTCCTTCCAAGGAGTGGCTGGTGGGTTTGAACCACCAGCCTTCTGGTTAGCAGTCAAGTGCCTTAGCCACTATGCTACCAGAGCTCCCCTTTCAATCTATACAACCCTTTAATGAACTCTGATTTTGGTGAAAGCAATTTAAAAAAAATGTGATTACTGTATTTCATTTTTGACTATTTTATTGTGGTTTAGGTAGAAGTTACATAACAAATTAGTTTTCCATTTAATAATTCATACACTCATTGTTCTGTGACATAGGTTGTAGTCTCTGCATTGTGGTAGCATTCTCTTCTTTCCACCCTTTCTCTCCTTTCCTCACTTCCATGTTGGGTTTCCATGCCCCTTCATGCTTTCTCATCTTTGTTTTTGGACAAATGTTGCCCTTTTGGTCTCATACAGTTGACTGTTCTAAGGAGCACATTTCTTATGGGTGTTACAATTTACTTTATAAGCCAATCTATTATTTGTTTGAGTGGCCTTCAGGAGTGGCTTCAGTGACTTAGGGCAACGGTCTCAGGGGTTCCTCCAGTCTCTATCAGACCAGTAAATCTGGTCTTTTGTTACGAATTTGAGTTCTATTCTACATTTTTCTCCCATTCTGACCTGGGACAACAGCAAGTTTAGCAGTCATATCTTGATTAATACTAAATGAAATATCTGCTTTGCAATCTATTTGTTAATTTCCACCACATATTTTAGGACTTTCTTTTCTGGGTCCCTGAATAGATGGAGGAAGGTACAAAAATAACTGGGTAATATTAAATGGTGTTTGAATTATCATGTTGATCTCCAATCGTAAAGCGTGACCAAAAGGTAACTATGCAAGCAAAATATTTCAGTCAACATACCTCTGGTGAATTTTTATCCATGTCTGTTAAATCTTTAGAAAGAACTGAAAGAGCAACATCTTTTTGAAGATGCCAAAGGGTTGTAGAGTAGATCTCCATGCCTTCAACTCTATAATTCTCAATCCTTCTAACCTCTGAGAATATTCTTTCAGCCTGAAATAGAAAAACTTGTAAGAGGAAAATAACATGATACAATTTATATATATACAGGTATAGTACTGGGCACTGGCTTCATGGGACCTAAATGTTGCCCTGGAGTATGGTTTTTAAGTAGAAATGTAAGTAATAACACAAGGCTAAATTGAGCCTTATGTTATTTCTTATGAAAGTCAAGGTAAGAAATATGAAGTTTCCTTTTCTGCCATAAAAAACAGGTAAGCAACAAATGTAATTAAAATGAAAAGAATACAATGTTGTAGAAAGATCTGAGGCTACATCTATTATATCATAAATATGTATTTCACCTCCAACTAAGTAGGATACAAGTGTTCCATGTAAGAATATACTGACAACTTGGTTTTCCACAAATCTATCTCAAGTAATCGTACAGAATATAAATTACTCACCCTTTAACACAATAATTGTATTATAAATTTTGAAAAAATAAGTACAAAGATATTACATAATAAATATTATTCTTTTAGATATAACAATCTCAAGCATGAAAATTTCAATAAATTATGTCTAAAAAGGCATATATAACTGTTTTGTATACTTACTTGCATATACTCTGAAAGTTCAAAATAGGCCCTTCCAATTTGGCACAGTACCCAACCCGTATTGTAGTGGTGAGAAGGTAGGTGGCTCAGTATATTTATAGCTTCTTTGCAGTTGTAGGAACACAAAGCTAAATAACCTTTCCCCATTTCACGAAGAAGGCTCATCAAACCTTCTAGGAGAAAACAATATAGTAAACAAAGGAGAAAAACACAACGAAACAGTCTGGCTTTCTAGAAAGTCTAATTACCAAATAACTCATTAAAAATTCCAACATCCTCATAGAAAATACTAAAGGCACTGTAATGAACATAAAGAAGTTTACTTAAAATAAGTAAATAATGAAATACGAAAAAGCTGTTAAGCAGTCAAAACAGACCTGCTGCTGCTCTCTGGAGAGTAAAAGCCTGGATCTGAGGGGTGATCGTGGGTATTTTCCCTTCTGAAATGATGGAGGAGTCCAATTTCGTAATTTCTAGGCTATCGTTGATGTTAGGTTGAGTTATTCCTCCTTTATTAGTTTTACTTTTTGTTTTTCTGTTTGGGATTTTAGGTGGAAACTTCATTTTTAATTTTTTACTATTCTCCTGTAAAAAGGGGGGAAAATCCCACACTTGTCATACTCATATATTTTAGATTTCTCCTCAACCCCTTCTCTAGTGTTACATATAAAATAAGTGTGCAATCTTAATTCATCTATATTTTTCTCACAAGATATTTTATAAAAACAGAGCTTTCCAAATTTAATTTCAATAAAACTCTGAAAATAAACTGCATGACTGACCAGCTAGTGATTAAATATTGCTCTTTTCTGACAGTATACCACACTTACATTAACTATTTAAAAATAAGGAGGTGCAATATTACCCAAGTGTTTCAAGAGTTTATTGTAATTGATAAGTCATAAGATTGTTGGTCTGTGTATGTCAGAGTTAAAGACTGCCTATAGTATTTGTCAACAGACCAAGAAAATTTACAAAATGATAAGGAGGCCTTCCATTTTTTAACAACTTTTGATTTCAAAATAATTTTAGAACCAGAAGAAGTTATAAAAATAATACAGCAAATTCTCATTCACCTTTCACCCAACTTCTCTCAATCTGACATAAACAAAGTACATCATCAAAACCAGGAAACTGGCACTGGTACAATACAATGAACTAAATGATAGATCTTATTTGGATTTCATCAGTTTTTAATGTGCATTCTTTTTTTTGCTCTTTGGTGTACAGTTTCTATAAAATGTTATCATACATAGTATTTGTGTAATCAACTACAATTAGGATACAAGACTATCCTATCACCTCAGAGAAGTTTCCTTTTGTTATCCTTTTAATAGTCAGATACTCCTGGTAACCACCCATCTGGCTTCCAGCACTGTAATTCTGTCATTTCAAGAGTATTATGTAATATTTATCAAAGGACTAAAAAGGTTTTTAAAACGTACAAGGCCATCCAAGTTTAATTTTTTTTTTTTAAATTCTAAATTTAAGGGAATTTATTTATTGGGATTAACTTAAGGGAAAGTTATTTATTAGAGGGAGAGTTATCAATGAACAGAAATTTTGGAGCAGGGGAAGCGTTAAGTATATGTGACTTACAGACATCTTTAAATTACCTTGGTTGTGGAGCTGTCACTAGTAAAAAGTCGTGAACTTCTTCGAGGCAGTGCATTTGGGGGAGATGTGATAGTGGGGCTCAATACCTGAGGTGTTGTACTAAAAAACAATTATAAAAGAAGACATTTATTTTTCACTTAGTTTATGACCATTAACTTTGTTTCAATTCAGGCATACCAAAAACTTTCATTTATCATGCTTGTACTCTAAAGTTGATGAGTTTGGTTGGTCCTTATCTTGTCCCCCCATGAAAACTAAGAATTTAAAAGCTATTCATGTAACTATAAAATGGTAATGATTACAGCACAGATACTCATTTTCTGAAACTGATCATTTGAATTTAGAACAACCTACGTAAAAATAATTCTGGCCTAATAAATGATAAATACATTGATAAGCCAATTATCTCTAGCCCCCACTTGCAACTATAGCAAGTTAGGGAAAAAGGAAAAGACAGCTGGCTATGGACATTCTAAACATAGGATTACTGGTGAACAAATATATACCAGTAGAACAACTAATACTCGAGAAATTATTTCAAACAGCTCCATCAAAGTTTATTCTGTTTAGAGCAAAAGGATTCTGATGACCACTTGGATTATTACTTTTAAAAAAACCCCCTAAGATTTAAGAATTTCATTCTTAACAATTTCACTAGAAAGCAAGCAAACTTAAAACTTAAAATCATCTAACTATGAGTGGCTAAGTCTATGGACTAAACTGCCTACAGTTTATGGGAAATCCTGCTAGCTACCTGAGTTTGAGACAAAGAAGCATCTAAAAATAAAAAAGAAGCTGATTAGTAAGCAAAGAATGCTGATAGTTTCCTTTAATCATTCAAAGGCACAGCCCCAAAGTACGAACTTTAGCAAGTGAGATCATTTGGGTCAACCAACTTGTTTTGAAAAGTACAGTATCAATATCCTTTATTTGGAAGAATTACATGTCATTTTTATTACAAATACGAATTATATTTTGCTAACATCTGTTACCATCAAGTCGACTGCAACTCATGGCAACCCTACAGGACAGAGTGGAACCACCCCCACAGAGTTTCCACGGCCGTAATCTTTACAGAAGCAGACTGCCACATCTTTCTGTCGTGGAGTGGGTGGTAAGTTTGAACCACTGACCTTTCCATTAACCACTGTGCCACTAGGCATCTTGCTTTGTTAATAAAATTGCCTAATTACAGAAAAACATTTAGCCTGAGAAATGGGAGAGAATGACTGCATAGCGTGAGAAAGCCTGAGAACATTGCTACAACTGCTTTAAACAGACAGAAGGCTGCATGAGGATAATATAAACTTTGTGGGATAGAAGTAAAAATAATAAAAAGAGGGTTCTGGGGCTGAGAGGCTGAGAAGACAGAACCCATATTATAATTTTGGCTAGTGTTCTCTTAGGCTGACATGACACAAGGGAAAAATGCCCAGTATCTGACAGGCAACATAAAAATGAAGCAGGATACTGAGGGACTGTGAAACACTGGTCACATCATATGAAATATTTATGTATTAATCATTATAACTTATATCTGTTTAACTAGGAAGTTGACCATGAAAGGAATGAAAGGAGTGTGCTATGGAATCAGACTGCCTAAGTGTAAAATCAGACTCTACTACAAGCTACGTGACTGTGTGCCAGTTATTTAAAAAATTGTGGATAAGTCTGTGTACACAGCATCATTGTTTTATGGTTTTCTCATAAAATATGAAGCACTCTGATAGTTACAAAAATATTATGGAAATATATAAAAATTATTTTTAAAGAAAAATTTACGTGGAGAAAATTACATACAAACTTTCTTGGACAATTAAGCTTAGAGTAGTATACCATTCCAATAAAAAAACAAAACAAAAACAAACACACACAATAAACTTTTTAAATATAAAGAACATACTTTTATTGCCAGTCGTGATTTTACTGTAATATGGACTTTACTCTTCCATCTTAAATAACTACAACACCTAACAAAGTAGGAGCTCTGGTAGCATAGTGCCTAAGGCACTTGACTGCTAACCAGAAGGCTGCAGTTCAAACCCACCAGCCACTCCTCAGAAGGAAGGTTGGGCAATCTACTTCTGTAGTGATACTACCTCGGAAACCCAAGGAAGGGTCACTATGAGTCAGGTCTGACTTGACGGCACATAACAACAACAACAACAACAACCTAACAAAGTATATTAAACCATGGTTTTCAGACACTGGACAACAGGCAGCACATGCCTGCAGAGTTTTGAGGCTGCAGGGAAGAGGACCACACACAGAACTCAGTGGTCTTCTTGTGTTGAGAAGGAAATGTTGAGAATTAAAGGAGGCCAAAGGAACTGTAATTTGTAGGACAGAGTAGTGGCGAGGAAGAAGCTACAGAGAGGAGCTCCAAAGGTCTGCAGAGGGACGTCCCTTGAGTATTTAGCTGAAGACATTAGTGCAGGAGTGTGTGTAAATACACAAAGCTAGGGGGATAAAACCACTGGAAAGCAGCAGGCTGTTGGAATCAACCCCAGGTTAAGAATAGTTCCCATTTCTAACAGTCAGAATGGGAAGAGTCCGTATCTATGGGTCACTGGGTAGCGTACTCAAAGGCAGCAGAGTACTCTCCCAATGGTTCATTTATAATGGAGTTTTCCCATTCTGACTACATTCCTCAATAACGGGCAACATTAGTCCAGGTTACTCAAACGAAACAAAACAAAACAACCCTCACTGCTATCAAGTCGATTCCAACTTATAGTGATCCTCATTGGGTTTCCAAGGCTGCAAATCTTTATGGAAGCAGACTACCTCATCTTTCCTCTGCAGAGCAGCTATTGGGTTCAAAGTAGTGTGACCTTTTGGTTAGTAGCCAGATGCCTTAAACTGCTACAACAGCAGAATAGTTTAGTCCAGGTTAAAGGTTGCTCTTTCCCACCAACAAAGCTTAAAAAAGTAAGACTTAAAAGGGTCAAACTGATGTGTATGAATTGAATAGAAAACTAATTTGCTCTGTATACTTTCACCTAAATCACAATTTAAAAATAACAAACTGCTTCCAAGCAACTTAACTGTATCCCAGAACAAAACTTAAAAATACTTAATTTTTAATTAAAAAAACAAACAAACTATTACTCAACAACATAAAATTCACAATAACTGGCATACAATAAAAAAACATCAGGGAAGACACTATGCTGAGTCAAATAAGTTAATCACAGAAGGACAGATATAGTATTAGTTCATTATTGTAAGTATCAAGGAAAGTTTTATATATGGAAGGAAACTTTCTTTGTTGGTTACCAGGGGTGGGAGGGGAGGGGAAGGAACATTGCAAAAAACAAAAAACAAAAAAACGTGTTGATCCATGTCACTTTAGTTTTGTATATTTCACTGTACATAAATTATATTTCAATAAAATATATTTAAAAGTAAAATAAAGTAAAAAAAAAATCAGGCATGCAAAGATACAGGAAAATATGATCTATAATAAAGAGAAAAATCAATAAATAAAAATAGACCCAGCTATGACACAGTAACAGAATTAATAAGAACATTAAAAGAGCTATTAAAAGGTAGATACACGTATGGGCACATTAAAGAGAGACTCAAATCAAGCTTCTTGAAATGAAAAATAAAATGTCTGAGATGAAAAATATAATGGATGAGATTAACAGAAGATCAGATACTGCAGAAGAAAAGATTAAGTAACTAGAATACGATCTAAATCACTATCCAAAATGAAATACAAGAGGAGGACTGGAAACAAAAATAAAGAGAGCATCTGTGAACTTGGAAGCTAAAGGTACAACTTCAAGTAGTCTAATATAGATATACTTGTCTCAGAAAAAGGAGCTCTCGTGGTGTAGTGACAAGGCATTTGACTGCTAACCAGAAGGCTGGAGGTTCAAACCCACCAGCCACTCCATGGAAGGAAGACTGGGCAATCTACTTCCATAAGATTTACCACCTCAGAAACCCAAAGGGGGTCGCTACAAGTTGGAATAGACTCAATGGCAGTGAGTTTGAGTTTTTGGTTTTGTCTCAGAAAAACAGAGCCACAGACAGAAAAAATATTTGAAGAAATAACAGCCAAAAATTAGCCAAATTTGATTAAAAACGAACTTACAAATCCAAGAAATTCAATGAACTCCAAGGCCAAGAATCAGGAAGAAAACTACATTAGGGCACATAATTGCTTAAAAATAGTCATAAAAAAATCTCAAAACAACCAAAGAAACAATTACAATTACACACAAAGACACATTACACACAAAGGAACAAAGATGAAAGATGAGAATGACATCAGATTTCTTGTCTGAAATAATGCAAGTCAGAAGACAGTAAAGCAACATCTTTGAGGAAACAAACTGTCAACTAGAATTCTAAACTCAGTAAAAATATCTTTCAAATATAAAGATGAAATGAAGACTTTTTTGACAAATAAAGGCTGGAAGAATTGATTGTCAGCAGACCTAGACAACAAGAAATTCTAAAGAAAGTCCCTTTAGGTTGAAGGAAAATGACACCAGACAAAAATCTGAATCTAAAGAAAGAAATAAAGAACACCAGAAATAATAAATACAAAAAAGACTTCTTTATCTTATTATTATTTTTTAAAATCTCTATAAAAGATAGAAGACTATTTAAAGCAGATACAAAAATTATTCACTGTGGGATTTATAAGACATGCAGAAATAAAATATATGGCATTAGCATAAAGACAGGGGAGGAACATGGAACTATATAGTTACAAGGTTTTATACTATAGATGAGGTAGTAAAATATCACTTGAAGGTAGACTTTGATGAGTTATATATTTTAGGTTAGATTATAAACATAAAACAATCTCTAAAAATACAAAACAAAGAGTAATTGCTAATAAGGCAGTAGAGGACATAAAATGGGATCATCAATACAAAAGAGTTAAAATTATTAATAAAAAAACCAAACTCACAGCCATTGAGTCGATCCAACTCATAGCAACCCCTCCTTGGGTTTCTGAGGTGGTATCTCTATGGAAGTAGATTGCCGAATCTTCCTTCTGAGGAGTGGCTGGTGAGTTTGAACCGCCAGCCTTCTGGTTAGCAGTCAAATGCCTTAGGCACTATGCTACCAGAGCTCCCAAAAGTTATTAATAATTGATACTTATTATAGTTATAATTCAGTAAAGTTTAAATATTCTTTAGGACTAACATATGTTGTTAGATACCACTGAGTCGATTTTGACTCACTGCAACACCATGTGACAGAAACTGCCCCCACAGGGTTTTCTAGGCTGTAACCGCAATGAGAACAGATCACCAGGTCTTTCTCCCACAGAGCCAGCAGCATATTCTCAGTCTAAATAATGCTGCTCTGCAAGAATCCTCAATCCTTCTCATAACAGAGTCCCAGGCTGGCACTCAGGATGAGACTCTGACTTACCATTCCCACCCTTTACGTACATATTAAGACCTTTTACATAGTCGAAGTATATATAACGTATGTTGTTGTTAAATACTGTTGAGTCGATTCTGACTCTTAGTGACCCCCACTGGGTTTCCAAGGTGGTGAATCTTTATAGAAGTAGACTGCTCCATCTTCTTTCTACAGAGCAGCTAGAGGGTTTGAATCGCCAACCTTCTGTTAGCAGTCAAATGCCTTAGGCACTGTGCCACCAAAGCTCCTTATATATATATTTGTGTCTGTTTTAATATTTATGGTATATATTCACTATTTTAGAAGAAAACACAGCTCTATCTTCTGTAATACTATAATTTATCAAGTCATTGAATAGGAAAAAAAATTCTCTTGAACACCTTTGCTGTGTAGAAATAAATTCATTATTTGAAGATTAATTTTATAATCTGGTTACAGATATGTACATGGGGGGAGGGGAAAAGGAAAACTGTAGGTACTTGACATATAGAGGAAATCATGTGCATACAAAAAAGAATATCTTGGAGGAATGCTCAGATTATCTAGTTCAAACAGATTCATCAGACAAAACCAAAAACCAAACCAACTGCCAGCAAGTCGATTCCGACTCACAGCGACACCCTTTGGGTTTCTGAGGTGGTAAATCTTTATGGAAGTAGACTGCCCAATCTTCCTCTGTGGAGTGGCTGGTGGGCTTGAACTGCCAACCTTCTGGTTAGCAGTCAAATGCCTTACGTGCTATGCCACCAGAGCTCCTTTCATCTATTATAATGTAAATCAAGGCAAGAGTTAGCTAAAATATTTCTTTTTTTTAGTTGTTCTTGCTGATGAAACTTTTTTAGTTTTATCAGACAGAAACCCACTGCCATCGAGTCGATTCCGACTCACAGGGACCCCCACTGGGTTTCCATCTTTATGAAAGTAGATTGCCCAGTCTTGCTTCCGTGGACTGGCTGGCCTTCTGGTTAGCAGTCAGATGCCTTAGGTACTGTGCTATCAGAGCTCATCAGACAGAGTAAACTAAAAAAAAATATTTTGGCTAACTCTTGTCTTTATTTACATTATAATACTCAACTAAAAATTGCACTAGTCTTCTCAATGAGTTAGGAATTTTAAAATTTACATATTCATAATTTATAACAGTCATTCTAGAATCCACAGGGGTTGGAGGTAAAAACTTGCCTAATTTGAAGAAGTATAAAGAATCAAGTTTTACAGCAAGAAAGAAAAGAAAATGCTAGTTGGACAATGTCTAATAATGACAGCATAATAAATACCTTGTTTGTGGGCCAGAACTTTGTGTTTGTGCGACAAGAATTGGAGTTACCTCTCGACTATTTCCACTCTGTGAGAAGACAGACTTTGTTCCAGTTTGGCCGATTCTGGCAACAGACTGTAAAACACAAAAAAATCTAAGGTTTGTGAATTATAAACTGCATTAAATATATTAAGAAACCATAACAAGCCCATTGGTATTCTCTCCCTATGAAAGATTTCATAACATATACCATCATCTTAACACTAATGAACTAGTAATCAATCATTATTTATCTAACGAGTATCAGCCTATATCCTCACTTTAACCTCAGGGTATTTTTTTATTTCCACATTATCCTTTCACCTTTCCTTTTAGTTTCAATGGAAAGGCCCCAAAGTCCCAGAAACTAATCTTTTTATCTCTTTGTGACCATCGTCCATTTATGACATACTCTGTCTATTTGGGGCTTAAGTGCTGGGCACTAGAGACAAAAACAGTTTTAAGGCAAATACTATTATTGAGATGTATGATAAAATTTAATACACATAAAAAAAAATAACAGTAAAATTTTATTCTGCTTCTTTGCCATTTCATAAAAACAGTTCTACAGGAGTTTAGAGAAAATAAAAGAACCCAACCTATTACTTCCCAAATTCTAAGGATATTGTTCCTAGACTTACTATTCCTTTTCTGGTATTTCCAATTTTTCATTAATTCCTCTCCCTTGGAGGAAAAAAACAAATCTTTGCTTGCCTCTTCTGTTTCCTCTAATTTATCACTTTATTTCTATTCATTTTCCTGGAGCTCTGGTAGCATAGTGCCTAAGGCACTTGACTGCTAACCAAAAGGTGGGCGGTTCAAACCCACCAGCCACTCCTCGGAAGGAAGGTTGGGCAATCTACTTCCGTAGAGATACTGCCTCGGAAACCCAAGGAGGGGTCAACTATGAGTCAGATCTGACTCGATGGCACATAAAAACAACAACAGCTTCTTTAAAAAGTAATCCATGACTATTATGTCAGTAGATCATTATTATTTTTTTAACTACCAGATAATTCACTTTGAAGCCTACTTCTACTCCGCTATCTGCTGTAAATAACCCTCAAACCACGTTCTCACCAGATTTGAAAGCCTGATTTTGGCCTTTTCTGCATCCACGTCATTGATCATCCCTTCCTTTTTGAAATGTCCTATCACTTCCTCGGGCAAGAAGGGAATAGAAGAAGAGGATGAGCTCGCAAGTAGCTTTTATTATTTGGGCACTGAAGTCATGTACCTGTTTCACTGCCTAACTGGTCCTGGTAGGTATAGCAGCTCTCCTGGTTTTGGCCTACTTCACCTGGCATGCTAACTATCATCCTACAACGAATGCCCTTTTCATAGCTGAAATAATCTGATTTTCACAACTTCATTTCATACCCGTAACAATATAAGAGCAGACAGTCCCCAACTTTTAAAAATCAGGTTTCAACAACTCATATATAAACTACTTCGCAATCCCTTGTTACTACTCTCAGAGTTCCTATGATCAGTTACTAAGGAGCTATAATAGCAAAAAATTTTTGGAATTCTGAGGTTCAGGAGTGGAAGAAGAGATGTTAAAAAAAAAAAAACAGTAATGAAAAGCTTGTCTTTGGGAGAGTAAGGGTGCTCTATCATTCATTCAGACACTATTATGACTTACTTAGCTTCCATTTCTTGAACTTTCATTAGGTTCTAGACATGGCAATAGGTATTTTACATAAGTAACTGACTTAATTCTTCCAAGATACACTGACACAGATATGCTTTCAATAAATGGCACTTTGGCCTCTATTGCCAAAGAAAAGAACATTATACAATCTTAATTTTGTTAAAAAAAGAAGTTAAAAGTGAAAATCTGAATATTTATTTAGGTATATGCCTAAATAAGCTAGATTTGTGAATTACAATCTTACTTGAATAAAAGAGCAAATTAGCTTTGTGTAATCTGTGATAACCAAGAGGCTATGACAATGATTACCTACATTTAAATCAACAACTCCAAGGCTAAAATAATGATAAGAAGTTAGAGTTTCTCTGAAATGACTTTTTGCTGTTGTTATTGCCAATGAGTTGACTGTGACTCATGGCGACAAGTGTACAGAGTAGAACTGCTCCACAGAGTTGTCAAGGCTGTGACCTTTTGGAAGCAGATTGCCAGGTCTGTCTTCCAAGGAGCCTCTGGGTGGGTTCAAACCATCAACTTCTCAGCTAGAAGTGCTTAACCATTTACACCACCCAGGGACTCCTAAAATGACCTTTAACAGATCGAAATTAAAATTTTTTTTTTTTTACCAATACTGAGCTGAGCTGCATTTTACATGGAAAGTACCTTTTTTGAAGGGGCTCCGGTGGATGGCACATCAAGTACAGAAGTTGTATTAGTGTAGTTTTGTAAATAGGATCCATCTCCAGGACTTGGGGTTTCTAATGGCAAAATGCCAAAACTGAGAAGAGGTTGAAATCAAGGTGTCAAAAAGTCATCAAGGCATATATAAAGCAGCAGTATACTTAAATTAGAAGGTCTAAAAGGAAGAGAATGGCAAATCAGTCTTGGGGGCAGTGAAGATCTGAGGGGCAGATTAAAAATAAGCTGTGAATGTAGACTATTCCACCCACACCATAACAAAGATTTAAAAAAAATTAAACAAGGAACTAACTTTAGCAGCAACTACTGATCTCTGGAGACTTACTAGAAATAAAGAAGAGTGGCTTTATAAAAGCTAAGATTTAAATGATAAAATTACTTCACATTCTTAGAATTTACGGAATTTAGACATGATTTCAGCAGGAAATGTCTCCAGTGAATACTGAATATTTTGTATCACTATTTAATAGTGATTGATGTAAATCCTTCTTCTGTGTTTTGGAAAATAACACTTTAATAATAACTACTGCTTTTCATCATAAGCATAAGGCTTGGGGCAGGGGGTTATTGCTATCCACTGCTGCAGTTGTAAGGTCACTACCTTTTAATGTACACATTAACTGAATAAGGCACACTGAAGAGTTTTAAAAATTTCTTCAATATTTAATTTTATCACATGTAATGTACTTCTTTTATTTCATTTACTGAAAGCCGAATAGATCTATTATTGATTTATTAAGTGCCTGAATTTCCATAGTGATTTAGGAATTTGCTGTTCAGACTAACTTATATTACTAATTAATATATAAGATCATTTATTATTACAGTATATTTTTAACTATCTTTTTTTTTGGTCTTACCTTGGGGTTAATGGGCTAAGAGCAGCTGGTCCTCCTAGTAAACTCCGACCAGTTTTTGGTTTATTTTGAACCTGTTTAGATAATATGGATGTTCCTGTTCCAAGAGGGACAGTGTCTGGTGAAATTACAGCTGAGTCAATATAAGACACCGAGGAATCTGTATTCAAGGAGTACTTTGAGTTGGAAGATTCTAAATTCAGTCTATTTAATTCCTGAAATAGAAATTTTCTACTAGTCATTTACCATACATTACTTAGTTCAGATCATGTTTTCTAGATTTCATAATATTCTGAACACCAGAACATGATACACTTACAATTGTGTCTTGGGGTGTTTCCGTAAGAACTGTCTCAGGCTGTCTGTGAGATAAACTATGATTAGATACTAGTGTTGTACAAGAGTTGGGCAGACAGTTGCTAAAGTTCTGTAAAGATGTTAATTTAAATGTTTGGTCAGGATCTGGCTTTTCACCTGTGAAGAAAAAAAAAAAAAAAAAAAAAAAGGAAATGAGGATTACTTTTTTTCCAAGTATGTATAAATAACCTGAAATAAAGCCTTATCCAGAGTTTCAAAATTCTATTTCTGCTGATCAAATTTATCTTCCAAAAGCTCATGTATCAATTTACAGTTTTTTTTAAAAAAATCCAAGATAAAGCTACACATTTAGGAAATAAACTAAACTGAAAGGACATTGATTTTAAACATAATAAATTACATGGAAATGCTGGTTTCTGTGTTAGTTTTAAGGAGCTCTGGTGGCATAGTGCCTAAGGCATTTGACTGCTAACCAGAAGGTTGGCGGTTCAAATCCACCAGCCACTCTGCAGAAGGAAGACTGGGCAATCTACTTCTGTAAATATTTACTGCCTCGGAAACCCACAGGGGGTCACTATGAGTCAGAATCGACTCCATGGCTGTGAGTTTGTTTTGGTTTTTTTGGTGTCTATCTTAAAAGCAAAAAATGACTGTACATCTTTTTTCAAGGGAAAGGATAGGGATGGGGAGTTAAAACTAGATATTTGATATCAAATATTACAGTAAAGTTAGATATTAAAGTGAAGTACTTCCATGTATATAGACACAATGTTTTAAAATGGTCCTTTATGCATCCCAGAGCATATATAAGGAGATACTTTCTCCCTATACAGGTCATATCTTATTCATACAGCAATTTCTATCCCAGGCATTCTATTAATTTCATTGGAAAATTCTTACTCAGAAAGTCATTTTGGCTAGTGCTAAACTCATTAATACTTTCTAGAGGACACAAGACATTTAAGCTAGATTGGCTAAAAAGAGACTATGAGATTTAATCTTTAGGGGAGAAAAATGAAAGGCCACATTCTTGAAATATATGATTGTAACTTATTTCTTATTTTAAATTTTAACAACCCTTAGCTTTGAAAACTCCTTTTCTCATGGATAGATAGATGATTTGTATTACTCTCTAAAAATTCATCAAGGAATAAAAAGAGAAAGAGGAGGAAATGGGGTAACCCTCCCCTATCTCTATAAACCTACCTATTTCACATAATGATTCAAATGGGGACCAGAGGAAAGGATTTAAACTAAGGCTCTTTTGGTAACATTCTGATCCTTTGGCAAGCCGGTCTGTCTTGCTGTAGAAAGAAACAAATGGATTAAATCAACTACAAAGTCCAAAACATTATCAAGAAATTTTTAGAACAGAAAATTAGGAAAATCTTATATATGTTCAAAGAGTACTCTTCCTTTAGGACAGTTCAAGTCGAAAGTCAGGTGAAAAGCCCTTCTTAGAACATGAACTGAAAGGAATGCTACCAAAACAATTTACCACTGCTTCACTGAATACTGCCACAGCTTTTGATTTCCTATCAGTCTTACTCTTACTTTCTAATCAAACATCCCAGTGGCAATTCTGAAAGTAAAACTTAAATGCGTATTTAAATGAGGTAGTAGCTCTAAATGAAAAAGAAAATTTATGTTTCTTTTAAAATCAGGTATAAAATGGTTTATACTTGGAATCTAGACAATATTCCTGGGAACATATATACTTTGAACAATCTGGGATTAATAGAATCACATTGTTGCCTCCTACTTATTAAATAGGAGGGAGTGGGGTCAGTAGTTAGTAGGACTCACTGGAGCTTTTAGGTAAAAAATACAGATCATTTGATCTTAGGCTGAAATTTTTCAAAACCTAAGGAGAAAAATAAAACTCTAATAAAACTTTTGGAAAGACCAGATGGCATCTAGCCAAGACTTTCAAATGAACCCTAAATGAAACTCTCAGCTAAAACATGTAATCTGACTGTCAGTTCCCTCTGAGGACTGTAAAGACAGTCCCTTGGGGAACTAGACATTAGTTTGCCTCATTTCGAAAATTTGTAAGTCAGTAGAAACTGGAATAAATTATAAAATAAAGAGAAGAAAGTACCGCCAGTTGAAAGATATTTTGCTTCCCACTTATGCCTAATTTGAGCCAATAACACTCGTTTGAACAGTAGAGCAGGAGGCCAAGCTGACTTTTGGATAATTTAAATCAGTTTTGTCAAAGTCTATACCAAAAACTGTTTAGATAAAAATTTTAAAAGGCAAAGTAACTGTCACAATATTGACATAACTTCTACCATGGACAGAAAGTTTATAATTACAACTCAGAAAGTATTTCAGAACAAAAATGAGTGAGAACAATGTTATTACAGTAATATTAACTTTGGATTCACTCTCACTTTTTAAAAAAGTTACTTATTTGCAAACTCACTATTATTTCAGCTACCACTGTAGGAAATTTCTTACAACACGCCTCAAAATCATTATAACCAGATAAGAACTGCTATTATTGAAACTCGTATTCAAGTCTCTTGCTAAGGAACATCAGTGATATTTAGTACTAGAGAAAAAACCTTCGTTCATTCTTTTTCCTCTGTGGGTCACATGAAGGTATTTTCCTCACTCAAGGTAAAAAACCAGTATTATGTGCATTCATTCAACTGTTAGCCAGTGCTGTTGTAGCTCTTATCATTAAGATTACTGGAGAGTCAAAACTGGGATCAGCATCTCTACTACAGGTTTAACAGTGGCATAGAGCCAGAAAATTGTTTACCAACTTAGACACATGCTATTTGAAAAACACAGACCAACACAGATTTTGTAAGCTACAAGCATTCTAATATTGGAAACAATTTTCAGTCAGTTTGTATCATTCTTACTTACCAATATACATGTCCCAACAATGAAAGAGTAAAGCAAGCTGAATCACCAAACTCAGTAACAATATCATCATGGCTTTTCTGTTTATTTAACACTCCACCAGATAAGATCTGTTCCCCTTCAGCAAGCCTTTAAGACATAAATACACAGATTTAAAAAAATCAATATAAAGCACCGTGTGTACTTCATTACCAATTCACTTCTAATTACAGAGATAAAGTAAAAAGTTCACAGCACTTTTAGAAAAGCTGTGAGCATGCATTTAGAATCATTTAGGCAAGCTGGGAATTTGTCATCTTAAAATCTGAGTCTTGCTTAAATGTGGTGGTCCCTTTTAGTTCTTTAATTTCTTGAAATAGGAATCTGTAAGCGTGTTAAAAAAGACTAACATCTTAATTAAAAATTGCACACTTAATGGAGTCAGTCATTTTAAGATTTTCTAAAAATAAAATTTGAATAGCACTTCATCTCTTTTATCTGTCAATCACCTTTTCTTATTATAGAAAATCATAAAGTTGTTCCGCAAGTTTAGAAAACTCACCTGATTTAATTATATATATCAGAATTTGTAATAGTTTGTGTTTAAAGTTTTAGGTTAAAAACAAGTCATCATGTGGCAAAATTCAAGGGAGCTTACATAGCATATCCTGAACATAAAAGGTAAAATATAAAGTTATTTAACCTTCAGTTAGACTGAAAACATAAATATTTATAAATAGGATAAGAATGTCAACAAGAATTGGCTTGAGAAATTGTTAAATAGCATATTTTTAAAATTAGAATCTGGATTCTAGAGCTAAACTTCTCAAAAATTTTATAGATATTTTAGCTAGCTTTATTTTAAAAGTCATCCATTAGTCATTGGAACAAATGAAAATTATTTTTCTTTCCATGAAAACTTTACGAGGCTTATTTGTATCCCCTCACTGTAAATCTATAAACTAAATACACATACAGGCTTTTACAAATACCTGTTTTATAATTTTTACCATTATTCCATTTCATACAGCATGAAAAACAGTTAAGAATATTAACTATATTTCTAGTTGCCTACCTTAGAATAAGGAGCTCTGGTAGCATAGTGCCTAAGGCACTTGACTGCTAACCAGAAAGCTGGCGGTTCAAACCCCCCAGCCACTCCTCGGAAGGAAGGTTGGGCAATCCTACTTCTGTAGTGATACTGCCTCGGAAACCCAAGGAGGGGTCGCTATGAGTCGGGGTCGACTCGACGGCACATAACAACAACAACAACCTTAGAATAGGGACAGCTGACTTGGCTTAGTTGTAATATGCACCAGAAACTGTCCTATTGCTTCAGAGATATAAGAGTAGTTGTTTTCAAACAGAATGATCTTGAAAAGAAACTCTTTACACAACCACCCCGATACTGCCAAACCCCTCAAAAACCTACTGATCCTGATTCATAGTGACTTCATAGAACAGAGTAGAATTGCCCCCTAGGGTTTCCAAGGCGGTAAATCTTTATGGAAGCAAACTGCCTCTCCAAAGGAGCAGCTGGTGTGTTTGAACTGCCAACTTTTTGGTTGGCAGCCGAGCGCTTTAACAACGTTGCCATTACGGCTCATTAGACATTGCCAAGAGGGCACTAACTTCAGATGAACCAGTAGAAATAAGGCTTATTCCAACTGGTCTAACACTGAAAGCAAAGGAAAGGAAATACCATTTGTGATCATTTTAAATTAAAGGAACCGATGGGAATTAGTTTTAAGTTTTTCCAGAGTCAAATTTTATTATTAATTATTACACAATGAAATCTCTCCTTAACATAAATAATACCATTAGCAACAGTGGAAACATTTCAAATATTACTGAAATAGAAAAATCCCTACCACCAAAAAAAAGGAGAAAAGGGAATCAACTGGAATTTAACCTGTCAAAAGAATTTTATTCAAAATTCTCCAGTGTAAGTAGAACAAAATTAGCTAGGAAACATAGGAAAACTTACTTGCTGAGATCAACACAACACTTTGCAAGCAGGTATTTACATTGCGGTGTAGTACAACTGTGTCCTTTCAAGAGTCTATATGCTTTATATGCCTTTCCTGAGCGGTAATAACAGGTTGCCAATAAAAACAAGGCTTCTTCGGAGTGTACTAAGAACATATATATATATAAAAAGAAAAAGTTGGCTATTAGTCAGTATGTTGAGTGGTGATGATAATTTATCCAGCAATAAACAAGTTTAGTAACAAAATTAAGTATCTTATTTAATACAAAACAATTATTTATTAATTCAAATTTGAATTAAGGAAAAATGCTTTGTTGATAGAAAAGTTAGTTACCCAGCTCCTGATTACCTGTTCCTACAAGGAACTAAAGAAATAATAAAGATGACACTCACGAGGTTCCACGTAAATCCTTTAAAAAAGCAAAGCACATACACATACCTTTAAAGCTTTTAAAAAAACCATTGCTGTTAAGTCAATCCTTACTTAGTGACCCTATAGGGCAGAGTAGAACTATCCCATAGAATTTCCAAGGCTGTAATCTTTACAGAAGCAGACTGTCACATCTTTTTTCCACAGAGCAGCTGATGAGTTTAAACTGCGATCCTTTGGGTTAGCAGCCAAGCATTTTACCCACTGTGTTACCAGGGCTCCTTTTAAATAGATTATTAGTAAAATATCCTGGTTTTTATGTAATATTTTTCTGATAGAGCTTTTGCCAGGACAGAAGTCAAATTTCATTAGAGAGGGAAAATGAGAGCTATAAATCTCATTACCAATCTGACATAATGTCTACTTCAAAGAAAAGGGAAGATTAAAAAAAAAATGCTTATATTCTCTAATATGCAATATGAGATAAAGAGAAGGAAAAAAGTTTGTATTGTGAATACTCATACCATTTTAACAGTAAGTTGACAGATTTGACATTTGTACAATAACAATTGCTCTCCAGTTGCAAACTTGTCACCTCTTCCTGAAACATTAGCTTCATTAATTAGGCTATAAAGGTAATTTGAAATTTTGTTCCTGTAAGTTTTTTGTCATGCATCTGTTCAAGTAAAACCCAACTGAACCCTTTTACTCCATGATTTTTCATGAAACTCTAGTATAAAAAAAGTTAATATGCAGTAAATGATAAGAAACCTTGGTATGTGTATTAATGGGGTAAACAACAGCATTAGTGCACCAGACACACAAAAAAAATTAAAATTAAACAGGATGCTCCACTGCAGTAGGAACAGATTGTTCATTTCACTGAGCTTCAAAAACTAGTCTTGGTTCCAAAGCAAATTCACAGGAGTTACAAAGTGTGCTTTCTTCTAGACTTTGCAAAGGTACAGTTTGCTTATTACCTTATAATTTTTAAGAGATTATTAATTATACCAATAAACAATGGCTCCCACAAATTAGTTTACCTTCTAGTCACAATAATGCTCTAACATGTTTTGTTTACAAACATGATCATGTTTAAACCCATTTTTCACTGCAGTGAAATTCTCTAATAACATAATGACATGAAATACTGTCTGTGTGATTTTAGTGTCATATAGCAATTACCTTTTTGAAGTATAAACATAAGAAGATTTGTAAATAATTAACAAAACAAAAAATTTTGCTCTTTGTAATCATATAATGGCTAAGACAGAAAAGAGAAATAAATACTGAATCTGCTACCCTTTTCTTCTGAGCTCAACCAATGACTGAAGAGCAGAGAAGTTGTAGGATAACACTGAGACCACCATATATAAAGAAAGCAAATGGTCGATAAAGAGACAGAAAAGGAAGAGAAGACCAAAATGGATGTCAGTAGAAACTCCGAAACTTGCTCTTGCATATAGAGTAGCTAAAGAGAATGGAAGAAATGCTGAAATAAAAAAACTAAGCAGAAGATTTCAAAGGGCAGCTCAAGAAGACAAAGTAAAGTATTATAATGAAATATGTAAAGACCTGGAGTTAGAGTAAACCAAAAGGGAAGAAAATGCTCTGCATTTCTCAAGTTGAAAGAACCGAGGAAGAACTTCCAGGCTTGAGTTACAATACTGAAGGATTCTGTGGGCAAAATATTGAACGATGCAGGAAGCATCAAAAGAAGATGGAAGGAATAAATAGGGTCACTGTATCAAAAAGACTTGGTTGATGTCCAAATACTTTCAGGACGTAGTATATGATCAAGAACCAAGGGAACTGAAGAAGAAGTCCAAGCTGCACTGAAGGAACTGGTAAAAAACAAGACTCCAGGAACTGACAGAATACCCACTGAGATGTTTCAACAAACAGATGTAGTGCTGGAAATGCTTACTTGTTTATGCCAAGAAATAGGAAGACAGCTACCTGGCCAACTGGAAGAGATCCATATTTGTGCCCATTCCAAGAATGTGGTAATTACTGAACAATATCATTAATATCACACACAAGTAAAATCTTGCTGAAGAAAATTCAAAAACAGTTGCAGCAGCATAACCTTAATACCAAAACCAGGAAAAGACATCACCCAAAAGGAAAACTACAGACCAATATC